CAGTGAAAAGTAGGACAAAATATTACCTAAGTCAGCATGCTTTATATATGATACAAATCTTGTATTCAGAATGTGAGATTTCCTTACAGAAAAGGTGCACGGGCAATAGCAGTAAAAGGTATCTATCTATCTGGCCAACAGACACATGAAAAGATCACTTATCATCAGAGAAATGCAGATCAAAACCACAAAGAGATATCACCTCACACCTATCAGAATGGCTAAAATCTAAACACAAGAGACAGCAAGTGTTGGCAAGGATGTGGAGAACAGGAACCCTCGTGCACTGTTTTTGGGAATACGAACTGGGGCAGCCACTGTGGGAAACAATATGGAGATTCCTCAGAAAGTTAAAAATAGAACTACCCTATGGTCTAGCAATTGCACTTCTGGGTATTTACCCCAAGAATGTAAAAACACTGATTTAAAGGGATACATGCACCTCTATGTTTATAGCAGCACTTTTACAATAGCCAAGATATGGAAGCAGCCCAAGGGTCTGTTGATAGATGAATGGATGAAGAAGTGGTATGTATATACAACAGAATAGTATTCAGTCATCAAAAAGAATGGAATCTTGCCATTTGCAACAACATGGATAGAGTTAGAGTATAATGCTAAACAAAATAAGTCAGTCAGTAAAAGAGAAATACCGTATGATTTCACTCATATGTAGAATTTAAGAAACAAAACTAATGAACAAAGGAAAAAAGAGAGAGAGAGAAACCAAGAAATAGACTCTACTATAGAGAACAAACTGATGGTTATCAGAGGGGAGGTGAGTGGGAGGATGGGTGAAATAGGTGATAGGGATTAAAGACTACACTTATCATGATGAGCACTGAGTAATGTATAGAATTTTTGAATCACTGTATTGTACACCTGAAACTAATATAACGCTGTATGTTAACTATACTAGAATTAAAATAAAAATTAATAAAAAAAGGGTTTGTTTATGCATGGACAAATGCTGCCTGATAAATATTTATTGTAATTATAGTAATCATGTAGTAGTTATATGCATGATGTATAATGCATATATGCATGATAATGCATAATGTACTTATATGTATAATATTGCATATTATGTACCACTTATACATATAGTAATGTAATTGTTTTCTTTTTTCTTTTTTCTTTAAAGATTTTATTTATTTATTTGACACACAGAGAGATAGCACAAGCAGGGGGAACAGCAGAGGGAGAGGGAGAAGCAGGCTCCCCGCTGAGCAGGGAGCCCGATGCAGGACTCGATCCCAGGACTCTGGGATCATGGCCTGAGCTGAAGGCAGATGCTTAACTGACTGAGCCACCCAGCTGCCCCATGTAATTGTTTTCTTAAAAAAAAACAAAAAAACCCAAAAAAAACAGGTATCTATCTCTCTTAGCTAATATCTACCATGTGTAGGCACCACACTAAGTAAATTATATTTCATTTATTCTTCCCCACAAGACCCTAGAGTGGGATTGCTAGTCTGGATATGTCACAGATGATCCGATGTGGAAGATACTTAGAGAGACAGAGCTGGGTGGTCCAGGCATCATGGTCTGTTAGTTAGGGGAGCTGAGATTTGAATGGAGGTCCAGCAGCTTGAACCAGGGGCTTGAAGACTCTTGGAAAGTGGAAATGAGAGAAAAGGAAGAGTCTAGAATGTACTCAGTGACATTTACCTAGCCAAGATTTATGAAACTCTTACCACATGACAGGTATGGCCTACCAGACATTGAGTGTACAAGAGTGGATAAGACAAATCAGGTTCCTGCTCAGACTGAGCTAGAGTCAGGTGAGGATGGGAAACAACCTAAACACACATTTAAAATGAAGCAGGTAAGCATGATGATGGTGGAATGCCTTCCAGGTTCCTATCTTGGTATCTGCTAGTGCTTACTACCAACCAAATCAGAAAGCCCAGAAGACAGAAAAGATAATGAGCCTGGTTTTGGACATGTTGAGTTTAGGGTGGAATATACAGAATATAATACATTATTTCCTCCTGCCATTGGAAAATAGGAATATTTTTCCAAAAATGAGTCTTCTTCCTATAGGGCAGTTCCTTTCTTAATCCCTAGTTTTGTACAAGGGTAAACTTTTTTAGTTTAGCATGAAGTGAACAGAGCGGACAAACTTACCGGCATGTGTGGAACATACTTTCTACTAAAAAAAGTAGTTCATGAAAAAACCCCAACAAGGGGCGCCTGGGTGGCTCAGTCGTTAAGCGTCTGCCTTTGGCTCAGGTCATGGTCCCGGGGTCCTGGGATCGAGCAAATTACATAGCCTAGCGAATTACAAAGGCCCCGCATCGGGCTCCCTGCTCCACGGGAAGCCTGCTTCTCCCTCTCCCACTCCTCCTGCTTGTGTTCCCTCTCTCGCTGTGTCTCTCTCTGTCAAATAAATAAAATCTTAAAAAAAACCCAAAAAAACCCCAACAAGGTAAGTTAAAAAAAAAAACGAACCCATAAAATATAGAGGGGGTATATGGATCATTGATGCAATTTTTCAGAGTGGCAAAGGAAAGCCTTTCAAAAAGACATTTTAATAAAGAGTTGAAGGAATTGAAGGAGCAAGTCATGCCGATATTTGGGGGAAAGAATATTTTAAGGCATTGGAACAATAAATGCAAATAGCCTACTGGAGCAGGACTGTTAGAAGAACAGAGTGAGGAAGCAGAGTGGTCAGAGGGGAGAATGGTCAGGAGCAAGGACAAATAAGTGATGGAGAGAAAATTATGTTGGGGCCTAGATGTCATGTGTAAAGATTTTGGCTTTTATTTGGCGTGAGCTTGGAAGACACTAGATGGTTCTTAGCAGAGTGAACTTCCAATTGTGTGTTTTTTTTCTGTGCACCGAACAATTAGTTCTGGCCTGGAGATGGTGCCAGATCCCACAGGTTAAGGGTTCAGTCCCACAAGACTGCCCCCCCTCAGCTACCAGCCCCTTCAGAAGCCAACCACAAGTCCAGCTCATCACCCATGCTACCGACGGACCAGCTGTGGATCAGACATTCACATGACCCCCTCCTCAGCTTTGACTAATTTGTCAGAGTGGCTCACAGAGCTCAGAGAAACATTTACTTACACTTAGCAGTTTATGAGAAGGGTATTATAAAGGATACAGATGAACAGCCAGATGAAGCGGTACACGGAGTAAGGGATGCTGGAAGGAGTTTCCCCATGCCCCCTCTGGGCATGTCTATACATGTTCCCCAACATGGAAGTTCTCTGAAGTTCCCTTTGGGGTTTTCATGGGGGCTTCATGACACAGGCATGATTGATCAAATCACTGGCCTTTGGCAGCTGAACTCAATCTACAGCTCTTCTTCCCCCATAGCCCACCAGCAGGTCAAGGGTGAGAGCAGAATCTCCAACCCTCTAATCTCATGGTTGGGTCCTCTGCCAACCAGACCCCATCCTTAGGTTACTTAGGAGCTTCCGCAAAGTCACCATATTAATATAACAAAAGACAGGGGCGCCTGGGTGGCTCATTCGTTCAGCGTCTGCCTTTGGCTCAGGTCGTCTGCCTTTGGCTCAGGTCGTGATCCCAGGGTCCTGGGATCGAGCCCCGCATCGGGCTCCCTGCTCCGCGGGAAGCCTGCTTCTCCCTCTCCCACTCCCCTGCTTGTGTTGCCTCTCTTGCTGTGTCTCTCTCTGTCAAATAAATAAATAAAATCTTAAAAAAAATTATAAAAAAAAATATAACAAAAGACACCTTTATCACCCTCATAACCTAGCAAATTACAAAGGTTTTAGGAACTCTGTGCCAGGGACTGGGAGAGAGACCAAATATACATTGCTTAATACGTAGCACAATATCACTGACTTCATTATGTTTTGTAGGCTTGTGACTCTGCTCTGATTCCTATGGGAAGAGCAGAATGCAAAGGGGCAAGGACAGAATCAGGGACAGAAGTCAAAGGTCAAAGGCTATTGCAAGACAGAGTAGAGAGATGATGGGGGCTTGGATCAGAATGGTGGACAGACTAATTAGTTCAGACTAATTAGCTGGGGGCTGTTGAGAAGTAGTCAAATTCTGGATGTTGAAAGAAAAAGCTGAACAGCTGGAAACAGAGTGTGAGAGAAAGAGAGGAGTGGAAGATGAGAGATCTCTGACTAGCATGATCTGAATTATGGAATTGCTATTCCATGAAATGACATAGACTGAGGAAGAACAAATTTGGACAAGGGACTAAGTGTGGCTTTGGATAGGTTAATCTGAGATACTTATTAGACGGTGAAGTGGAAAAGTTGAGTTGGCCATGGGGGCGAGGGTCTAGAGTTTTTGGAGAAGGTCCAGGCTGCAGATTAATACATAAATGCATTTGAGAGATGAAACATATTAATGGTCTTTAAATCCATGAAGCTTATACGCTATGTTCCATACATCCCCCCTCATACAATCTAGACCTTTGCTTTTGCAGACAAGCATGCTGATATTTTATCCACCTAGTATCTATCACATATATGTATATTCCATACACTCATATACCCACTGAAATACACAAGACACAAAAGGCACATGCAAGGTTGTTCATAACAACACTGCTTATAATATTTTAGACTGGAAACAACTCACACGTCTGTTGCAGGTGGAAAGGGTAAACAAATTCTGGTGAATATGTACAATGGAATAATGTACAGCAATGAGAACGAATACACTATAACTATCCACAGGAATGTGGATGAGTCTTTCACACATACTGTTGACCAAAAGAAGCCAGACACAAAAAAGGCTTGTTGTACTTTCCTATCTATATAGAATGGGGGGAAAAGTGAAAAGTCAAAACGGTGGTTGACATTGGTGGGTAGTGACTTGAAGGGGGCACAAGGGGGACTTCGGATAGGCAGGTTCTGTTCTTTCTCTTGAATTCAGAGCTCAGTGTGTTCACTCTGTGAAAAACCATTAAACCACGTACTTATGATTTGTGTGCTTTTCTCTCTCTATATATTATATTTCAATAAAGAACTTACTTAAACTATCTTTATGCACCCCATCTTCCCCTCTAGCTCCTGATGTTGCAAATGACACGGAAAAGAGGAAGACATTGATACAGCTGGTGAGAGAAAAACATTACAATATCCTTAAATAGATGAGGGGATAAGGGAAGTAGTAGACAAGTAGAGGCTTTGGTCAATGCCAGGGACATGGGCAGATCATCCATAGTGTCTGGAAAAAGCAGTTATGAAAACGGTACAGAGCTTCCTCAAAAAATTAAAAATAGAATCACCGTATGATCTAGCCATCCCACTTCTGGGGACATGCCCCTAAGAACTGAAATCAGTATCTCAAAGTGACAGCTTCATTCCCATGTTCATTGCAGCATTATTCACAATAGCCAAGACATGGAAACAACCTAAGTGTCCCTCAAAGGATGGATGGATAAAGAAAATGTGGTATGTACATAGAATGTAATATTATATATCCACCCTTAAAAAAACAAAAGGAAATTTTGTCAGTTGGGACAACATGGATGTACCTGGAGGACATTATGGTAAGTGAAATAAGCCAATCACAGAAGGACAAACACTGCTTGATTCCAGTTATATGAGGTATCTAAAATAGTCAGTTCATGGAAACAGTAAAATGGTGGTTGCCAGAGGCTGGTATGTGGGAGAATGGGGAGATGTTTTTCAACAGGTATTAGAGTTTCAGTTACACAAGATGAGCAAATTCTAAGATGTGCTGTACAACATAGAGCCTATAGTTGGCAATACCGTGTTATATACTTGAAACTGTGAAGAGGGTAGACCTCAGATTAAGCATTCTTACCACAAAAAAAGCAGGGAAAGGCAGGAGGAATCTTTTGGAAATGATGGATATGTCTGTTACCTCGATTATGGTGATGGTTTCATGGGTATATACATATCTCCAAATTCATCAAATTGTATGTATCAAAGAGAGTCTTAAAGGGAAGAAAAAATATTGAGGAATTTTATGCATCCTTAATTTTTCTTTTGAGTATATACGAGGAACAATGTTGCCCTCTAGTGTTCAAACTTGTTGTTTTTGTTTTTGTTTTTTAATTTTATGCTGGGAAGGGTGGCAAATGGTCCAAGTGCCCCTGTGAAGACAAATTCCTCTTGTTTTTGCAGGTTTTCGTGGCATTTTTAGTTAAGGTTTTCAATTAGGACAGGAACGAAAGCATTACTAGTGCTTTCTAGAAATCATCCATTAATCGGAAGAAACCTGGAAAAGACTATGTGAACAATAGTGTAAAACTTGTATACGTAGTAGATCCTTGATATGGAGCCACGGCTAATCTGTGATCCAGTGAACTGTTCCATTGGATAATGTACAGCAATGAGAATGAATACAATATAACTATCCTCAGGAATGTGGATGAGTCTTTCACACATACTGTTGACATTTATAGAATGTCCAGGGTTTCTCTTAATGTGACATGCTAGGTATATGATACATTGATGAGTGCACACACACACGCACACACATGGCAAAATTTTATACTCAATATGGATAGTTTGGATTTTTATTAAAACCATTCTTCCAGGGGCACTTGGGTGACTCAGTCGGTTGGGCATCTGCCTTTGGCTCGGGTCATGATCCCAGGGGTCCTGGGATCGAGCCCAACTTTGGGCTCCCTGCTTTGCAGGGAGTCTGTTTCTCCCTCTGCCCCTCCACCCCCCCCCCCCACTGCTTGTGCTGGCTCTTTCAAATGAATAAATAGAAATCTTTAAAAACAAAACCCCATTCTTCCAGAACAAATTTCTTGAAATAAAATAATTTTTAAACTTTTTCCCCCTCATGCTGTTCTGAGTATGATCAAACACATTTTTAATTTGAACTCACAAGGATGTTGTGTTTTGGGAAGTCAAAGTCAAGAAAAAGTAAGAATAGTAATATTTTCTCCATTTATGAACTGAGGAAAAGGGCATATAAATTAAGAAACTGGCAGCATACAGGTAGGGTTGGTCTGCAGTATCTAGCTTCCTTCCCTTCCTTTAAAGTTTTTCTGTAGGGGCGCCTGGCTGGATTGGATGGTAGTGCATGTGACTCTTGATCTTGGGGTTGTGAGTCTGAGTCCCATGTTGGGCGTAGAGATTACTTTAAAAAATCTTAAAAAAATAAAATAAAGTTTTTCTCTAGAAGCTGTGAGCATCCCAGACCTCTCTGGCTTGTGACAAATTGTGTAATACAAAATTCACACCATGGGCAGTCAGACGCACCTGGATGAGTCCTGGACTTGCTAGTTTTCCCTGAGATATTGTGCAAGATATGTAATGTCTCTGAGTCCCAATTTCTGTGAAATGGGAAGAGTGATGTAATGCATCTCCTAGAGACGTAGAGATTACCTAGGATTGAGTGTGCGAGAGCATTTAACACAGGACCTAGCACAGCATGTATTAGCTTTAACAAAGGAGAACATGATGTAAGTAACACACCACAGATTCTCTGCAATAGTATGTTTTGCTATCAAGTAAAAAGGTGCTCTGGGATCAAATAAGAATAGATTTTTCCTCTGGAATTATTTTCTGCAATGATATCAATAGACAGTCTAGATCCCAAAGCAAATTCTGTAACCCAAACTATGAAGTCCTATGTCTATCTCTTTCATATAAAGCAGTTGTAATTTTTGTTCTCTGGACTTACTATTTTCTGTTCCTTCCCAAATTGCCTTGAAACCATTGCCAAAAGTTATGAATTATTTATGAAAATCAGAGTGAACCCTTCCCTAAGAGTGGATTTCCCCTTCCTATGTATATTATTACTAAAAGGACTATTCAGAAACTCCTTTTGCCTCTTAATTTCCAGTTCATCAGTTGTTTAGCATTATTGTCCCATCGGAATTGGCCCCTATCATGCCTATTTTTATTGTTCTCTGGGGATTTTGGAATGAACTTCGCATTAACTGAAATTTTTCTTTGAGTATGGTCTTCAGTCAATGTGGGATGGGACTCCAGGTATCAGCCTGGTGTGATGTAATGGGCACCTCCCTTCTGAAGCCCCATTCTGGAGGCTGATGGGAATTCCAGCACAGTGAGGAAAACGAGACAGGAAGTCACCTTCCCCTCAGAACTCCATACAGCTCAGGCTCTTCCATTCCAAAGTTGCATGAGCCAGCCTTGCCCAGAATATTTGAAGGCTGAAGATTCCCCCACCCCAGACAGTGAACAGAGCTCAAGGAATCTCTGGAAGATGAGATGTTCATTCAGAAAGCTGGAAAGGACCACATGGTAGCTTCACTGCTCTCCTGGAGACTGAATCTTGAAACATATCAGTGAAGACCCAATCCTGACCGTGCATGCCTCACAATGAACATGAACAACCTGCCAAGACCCCGCTAAAATCCTGAGAGTCCTTTCTGAGGTATCCTCCAAAGGATATCTACTTTAGACTCTTAAGTCTCTCAAACCAATACATTCTCTTTGCCACTGAAACAGATTTGAGTTGCAGAGTTCAGTCTAAAATGAAAATGGTGGGACCCCTTTTCCAAAAAGCAGGAGGAAAGTGCCACAAGCCACGCAAATATAGACCTTTGCCCTTCTTCTGTGGTTTCTCTCTCCACCTTTCATGGTGTTTAAAATTTTCTGTTTAACATTATGTTCCTTTTGGATATGCTCCCTTGGATCCCCTTTGGGGATCCTGGCTGGAAGAGGCTAGATCTTCATAGGCACTGGAACCCCTATTCATTCTGTAAGACGAGCAGGAAATGAAATATATCTACCAGCCATTTTGACACACTGTGTCTATTGTTTTTTTAAATTATTTTTTATTATTTTTATTTTTTACTCTTTTATTGGTATTCCATTTTTTTTTTTAAACAGGGGTCTTATATGTGTTTTCTAAACCATATTGCTGAGTCATCTGGTTTATATTTTCTAAGTCACTCCTGCAGGTTTTCAAAAATCCATGCACTCACATCCTTGACCTTCTTTGACTTGGCCCTTTGAAAGTCATTTTTATCAGGGTTTCGTTCAGCATCTCCTTGCTCACCATTCTTGAGTCAGGGCTTTGGGAATGAAGAGCACCAGAGGAAATGATTTCTGTATTCTGTGCCAGTATTGCAATTTCTTGGCAATGTTAAGTTCAAGACAAATGATGTGGTGGCTCAGTCACTTTCCCATTTTTGTGGCCAGAGCCTTGTATTTAACGCCTTCCTGTATCAAACTTTTAAGATGTCCAGTGTGTTGAGTATTTATGGCTCTGTTGTGAGTTTCCGTCCTCTGGCGAGAACAATGATAACAATAAAAATATAAAAACATCTTTTCTTCCCCTCACTGGAGAGACAATGTGATATTTTGAGCATTTTTCTTGCTGCGTGGAATCATTGTACTTGCACAGTTGAATTGAAGGGAGGTAGCTACTTAGATCTTTATCTACTCTTTGCCTGCTCTTAGAATGACTCAAATAGCCAATATTCTTGCCCAGAAAAGATTCCAGCCACTTCGAGCCTCTGCTTAATTTTCTACTTTTCAGTTCTCTGCTGATTGCATGTGCATGTTTATACCTCTGCCGTTCCTAATGTACCAATAAACTCCCTCACAAAAGCCCAAGCCATCCAGTGGGCTATAAATTAGGATAGTTTTAACCTACATTTTTTTTTGTTCTGGGCTTTCAAATAATCTTCCACCGAAGACCGATTTTCCTGAAATAGATTTTATAAGGCTTTCACGGAAAAATTACATTTAGATCTCACCACTTTCCCCCTTTGTAATCACATATTTTAACCGAACAGTCATGTATTTACTCAACGTATTGGATAGCAGACAAAGTAATTTGTGTTTTGAGTCTTTATCTATTGAACATGATGTATTTCTTTCAGCTAAAGATTTACAGGCATACATTTTTGTTAGCTTTGTCAAAGAATAACCTTTGAATTCTTGCCTCAGATGTGTGTTCTTCATTTTGAAAATAGAGCCATTCAGAAACCACATGCCATGGTTCATAATGACGTGACAACAACACTGAGAGTGATAGAGAGGTTGTGTAAATCAAGTGATAAGAGCCCTGGAAGAAAAGGTTTGGGGAACCGAAATCTAGTCAGAATTATGCCATCGATCCAGGCCTTTTAATAGTTGCCCCTTCTGTAAAATAGGAAAATTGACAGCAATGTCAGCTTCTCAACATCTGACCATGATATAGGAAGAACGTGTGAAATAAAAGGCAAACACGATATGAGTTTTATGAGAAAAAAAAAGGTATCTGAGGAAAAGAAAAAAAGACACCTGAGTCATCTTCAGATGAATTTAATAGAATAAACTCAGTAGTTGTGGTTTTTTTTTTTTTTTTATAGATCTTCTTGGGTGCCTGGGTGGATCAGTGGGTTAAGCGTCTGCCTTCTGCTCAGCTCATGATCCCAGGGACATGGGATTGAGCCCCGCGTCAGGCTCCCTGCTCAGCGGGGAGCCTGTTTCTCCCTCTTCCTCTGCCACTC